TTATAGTTTACTGAAAAATAATTTCTCCACCAAAATCTTATTTCTAACCTTCTGAGTTATTTTTTGTTTTCATATCCAATTAGTTCTCTTCCACCCCTAATTTCCCATACAATGCCTCTGACACAGTTTCACACAAGATTTACATACAGTCTTACAGTTAAAAGCAGAATAAATGTATTTACTTTGACAGAATGCACACACTCCCTTCCTCCCAAAGTTGTGGCGGGAGCATATGTACCTATATCCTGATTTACCTCATCTTGGTAAAAGGTTATTATGTAGGTCAACTATACAAAGCATTAACAGTGCATCAAGCAACAATACTACAGTGCATTATACATCAATTGTAACTTAAAATAATATCAACTTATCTAAAAAAGAAAAATTAAAATCATTCAGCAGAGATCATAATGTCAGCATATACAATTAGAATATTGTGTGTCAGGTGTGAAATAGTCTTACAGTGAAAAATTTGATAATGACATCAAAATGTACAAATATGAGTGAAGATAAATAGTTGGAACAACCAAGTATCAAATCAATGTTTTCTTTATGAAACCAAATCAACATGACTAATATTTAAAACAGCAATTATATATTTGGTTCAGATTTACAATGATTATGACTGAAAATTTAATTTCTTTAAAAAAAAAATCTGATGTTTATGATACAATTTCCTCCATAACATTTGAGAATATCAATTGCTGCAACAAGTAGTTAAAAGTGCATATATCGCAAAACAAAAAAAAACATGAATCATGCTGTGAAATTTGATAATGCAAAAACAGTACACGTATTCAAGCCACAGTTACGGATCAAAACAAGAATATGATGGATATGTGTTGTTTATTTCAGAAAATTTCAAATAAAAAATAATGGAAAGATGTCTATTTTACAAGTCAACTCTTTAGAGAATTGTCTCGTAAATTTCCTACATTTTGTAATTTTTCTTTTTGTTGAAAGATTAATGTGTATGAAATAAACAACACAATTTTATCCAGAAAATGATCCAGAATGATTTTCACGGTATTTTTATATAAACATTGTAAAGCAAAAGGCGACAACTAGGTAAGAGATGTCTACATACACTGGTTAAGTAAAGACACACCACAATTTTTATCTGTAGTCTCCATATTCAAGATTGATGTTAACAACTTGTAGAAAATGTCCTATTCATTGTTCAAAATTATTTTTGATCAGATTTCAAAGTTTTCTGATGTATTTGAGTCCATTTTATATGTTTGTCTCCAAAGAAACACCACTAATTTTCTCATTTACATGTACCAGCATATGATAGTTTCCCCGATTTGTCTTTTTAATGATTTGTTTTTTTATTGTAATGAAACCAATATATCTTTGAATTGTATCTGAAACTTTTGTAATAAAAAAGGATTGATAAATATTTAGACAACCTGGCAAACATTTGGGCTAATTATGGGTTTTTCCACAGATAACTAAGTACCTCACTAGAGATAATCCACAGACGTTAACTTGTTTTAAGCAACAAATAACAGGATAAATTGCCCTATATATAACAAGACAGTAGTTATTCCTATACTTTGCCTGCTAATCTTTATCATTTTTTTCAAATTTATTTTCCAAATTAACTGAATGTTCAATATTATACTGTACAGAGACAATACCTTTTGGCAAAGTGCTCGGAATAACTACATCTCATTTTAAAAAACATCTTTTGATTTGGTTCCTAGTAACAACAATATAGTGATCCAAATTACACACAAAAAAATATTTTTATGAATATGCAAATTTTTAAACAAAAAAAAGTTATGCTTCAGTTTCCATGAACAAAATGTACAGTTATGTATGTAGGCTTTGTACTTTGTTTGTCGCACATGATGCCAAGTGTTTCTACACAAATCATAATTATGGCCGATTTCAATAAATAACTCCATTTGAATGGGTGTATGATTATATATGTCAAGAAGAGACATTTCAATGAATGAAGTTTGCTGTTTCAGGATGTATGAGAGTCGGTTTTGACCAGAAGTATGACATATTCCAATATAAACTTTGATATCTGTAGCTGTAATGTGATGTAGAATTTCTGCTGGTGGTCTCTATCTTGTGACATTGTCAACGAATTCTATGTTTTTTCCATAGCTAGTATACTTCTCTGGAAATATTTTATTTAACGAAATTTGGCATGAATGATCACCACAAAAATGTGCAAATTCTGATCACTTTTGTTGACTTTAGCACATGAAAAAACATATTTCAGTTTTTTTTTTTTTTTTTTTTATTAGCAACCCCCCTTTTTCCTTAAATTAAGAAAAAAATACCAGGATATGAAGTGTCAAAGGTAGGATTTAACAGTAATCAAATTTTTTTAAAAACTCTCAATCTTTCTGTTGGTATGCAGTTTTGATCCTGTAAAATCATAAAGAAAATAACATTATTCTTTCATCCATAGAAACATTAAGAAAAGTAAGTTTCAAACATTTTAAAAAGTCATCACCAGAACTTAAGATAAATTTTAGAAATGTTGGTCGTCTGACCTTCATACATCCTTAAAGAACAGATTTCATTCTACTGTGAATATGTGTATATACTAAATTTAAGAACATATATGATGATGACAATGATGAAAAAGTCTAATGATAATGACTGATGTGATTAAATGACATTATTACACCTAGTTATATGGAACATGAAAGTGACAGTCATCATTCTCTATGGATGAGATAAACATATTAAATATACCAGGCAGTCACAGAACTACCCTCACAACAAGCACTTTAAGATATACAATAATACCAAAAAAAAAAAAAAAAAAAGTTCAATGCATGAGTTAAACAAGTCTTGTGCCGCAGACACTCTGTTGTAGTATTGATCGGAGATGGAGGAACCTTGTATGAACGCGAGCCCGTCAACGGACAAGTCACCATGTGAGAAGAAATCAATACAGACAAGGCTTCATAATATGCCAGAAAATTCACTCATATGTTACCTCCTTAACTACCACAAAAATATTTACCCCATCTTATACTTAGCATGCGGAGAATCAAACAATAAAATTCTAAATGGTATTAATTTTTTTAATTTCAGTTTTAAAATTGTGTCAGGTTTAAACCTGATTTCATGCAATACCATTAATGGTATTGATGAGAATTATTATTCTTTAATAGTACAGAACAAGATTCAGGGAGTTTGTGGTACAATTGTATTGAAAGAGGAGAGGGCAGCAGGACAATGTTATAAACAGGTAAATGGTTCTTCAGTGTACTATTGTTCTGGATGAAGGATACATTCCTATCTCATGGTGTAGTTTGGCACAAGACTTGTACAACATGTAAGCAACAGTAACAGTATAGCCTCTCCAGTGCTGAGTGTCGTTCAGTATCACAACAGGTGCCCTCGTGGTGTTGTAGTGCGGGCCAACGGGATGCATGCATGATCAATAACAGTTAAAAAAGCTAATACTTTCTAGTGATGTAATAGCAAGTTTTGTCCATGCAAAACACAACTTCCTTCATTGCAGAAAAATAATAACAAAAACAACTTCACCATGTGAATAATAATAAGAAAAATTACATATCTTGAAACTATTATCACCCTTGTTTGCTTATGAACAACCAATCAGATGGTGTTTTATAAACATTAAATTACTTATATCCTCGTTCAGATTGGCTGACAGAAGTTGATGTTCGCCTCATCAATAAAATCTAGCTTTCTCTACACTGCAAGTCAGCTTATGTATGATGTTGAATTAGTTCCAATTAAACCCTACATCTTTCAGGATCTCTGCCCTAACCACTATAAGTTTGATAGGACTATTCATATTACCAGCTGCCTTGCAATGGAAGAGAGTTCATTGTAGTTGCTGCCATGGGGAAGTTACTCTTACATCCCCCATTTAAGAAGGAGATAACTCCTGATTCCCCTTTGTTCTGCTACATATATATATATTTATATATAACACAGTATAAATAATCCACTCTCCATTTCCAAGGAAAGCTGGCTACAGTGCTAGAAATATTTATCCTCATAGTCAAATCATTTCACTCCTGTATTTGATATTTTGTTACCTATCCTCTAATTATGAACCCTTTATTCCTTCAACATCCCATCCCCACCCTAAAGAGAGGAGACCCCGTTTTAATCCCTTCTTCCATCTCCCCTCCAACAAAAAAAAAAATGAATGATGGATTAGCTATGATATCGAAAACGAGACTATTTCAGTCAACAGGGAGGAATGAAAAGATCTGATAAAGGGAGACAACCCACGATGAGATAGTGATAGCACCGCTAAAAAGCCTCATTTTATGTTATAAATTGTATACTAATTCAGAGTTCACTTCACACTGATGAGGAGAAATCAATTTTCAAACTTTGGCTTCCCATTTTAACCAAAACATCTTTGTCTTTATTTTTTGCCTTTCTTTTTTTTTAAAGGTAAAAGTGATTTTGGTGAATTCATCACGCTCTATACTCAAATGTCAATTCGGGAAAATAAAATCTTGAATTCCCTTCAACAGTGTAATCATGACTAGAACCTGAAGTAGTAGACTGTGCCTATGGACCCGTAATGTTGATAGCACAATCAAATCAATGCCATTTTTACACATAAATCTTGTACAGTAATGATAATAATAATACCACAACACACAATCTTCGAAATACTGCACAGAATTATCAAAGATTAGAATGAATGATAATAGTCACAAATCTTAAATGTACCATTAACATACATTAGCAGTAGTTTGATCTAGATAATGTTCCTATATATACAGCTCTAATGACCAACAGGTTCGATGCTTGATCAAGTCAACAAATGGGGCATAGGCAATTCTCATTATTATCTTTTCGAAAACTTTAAGCGATAGTGTTCAGTTTTTCTAAAAGACAAAAATGAGAATCCTCAATAAATTTTCATTAAAACAGCAAATATTCACTAAACAATGAAAATTTTGCTAAAACAAAACATTAGCAAAAGAGACTTTTTCACTTCATCATTTGTAATATTTACATGACATGACAAATATTCATGGATATTTAACTGTTAATATATACATGAACAAAATCGCCCTTGGAAAAGAAGTCCATTATGGGGAAGAAAACTTCCTAAAATGAGATACCTCAAAAAAGAAAGAGATCCATATTATGGTCAGAAACAAATTCTCCCTAAAAAAACTATCTAAAAAGTGTTCTGTGGTTGGGAGAACTACATTCTGAAACAAAATAACTTCCCTCACAGGAGAGCTTTATCACATGGGGGATAACTTCACAAAAAAATACAGTACACAATGTTAGGTTTATCTACACACACATACTACACTACAAAGCACTGTTTACATGCAAGATAAACATCACAGCCATACAAGATTCACAGTTCCTAGTTAGAGATCCCCTCCTGCAAGAAACTGTGAAGAAACACATTGGTAAAGAAAGAAAAGTATTAAGATTCCGATATAAATTTTGCTAATTTGTTCTTTCATTTTAACAAGTTAGGGATGCAGACTTTAATGTATTCTGACTTTCAGCTGGAGGGTCAAATGAAAATGCATAATGAATGATTATGTCAAATAAATGAGTTAAACATGATGATGATATAATGAATTCAGTCTTAATGTCTATTAAGTCTGCCTTAAGTCCTCAATATAGGTTCACTGGCCGATAGAATTGTACAACATTCAACAGTATATATATAACTATGTATCTATTACACAACTCCAGTATTTTTTGTTCAATGACACTTTGATGTACACCACGTGTCACACAGACAATTAAACAACTCCTGTTGTTATATGTTGTAGTATTGCTGTTGTACAACACTTGTCATATGGGGGATAAAAGTCCATAGTACAACCAAAAGTGACTTTCTTTTGCACACCTCACTCTAATGCCCAAAATCACTACAGTACTGCTTGTACTAAGAATACTCCCCACCATTGTATGTCATCACAACTAGTACCATTTTTTTAAAAAGATTCGATAATGAGAATTAAGAAATTTCCTATAACACAACATGAAGGTTTTGTAAGGGCTACCTCCCCCTTGTAAGTTTCGTGAAGGGTAGAATATTTAAGTATCCCTTTCCTTCTTGATGAACATTGTTTGGTTGTTGTGGTGTCGTGAAGTGACACCCGTGGGGGAACTGTCTGGGGAACCTTTAGATGGAGTGTAGCGCCCATCTGATGGCCCTTTGGAGGGTGTGTAATGCCCATTGTACTTTTTCTTAGACAGGAGCTCAGGCACAAGTACTCCAAGTCTCTGTAACTCCTCCTGCATCAGCAGGTTTTCACATCGTACCTGTGTATAGGTAGCCTCATACTGCTGGAGTCGTGTTGTGATCTCCCGATTCATTTGCAGAAGTTTAGCTGCCTGTAATGCAAAACAACCAGATTAAGTGTTTGATTCAATAAAAAAACAGTCGCATACAAACAAAATGATAGAGATACAAGTTATGCATTTTTAATTATGTTTTGTTTTCAGGTTTATCATATACCAGTATTATTGAATTCCTTTTTGTAACAACCACCCCTCTATATGGAAATACATTTCTCAATACCCAGTTTAGATTCAATCCTCAACAACCCAATTTAGACCCATTTCTCAATACCCAGTTTAGACTCACTCCTCAATCACCCAATTTAGACCCATTTCTCAATACCCAGTTCAGACTAACTCCTCAAAAACCAAGTTTAGACCCATTTCTCAATACCCAGTTTACCCTCATTCCTCTTTAACACAGATCAGATTATAAGATCCTGCAATAATTCTGTTCACTCCTTAACCTGGACCATCTTCCATTACTTCTTTAGGACTTTGGTGAATTAGAGTGAATGATAACTAAGCTCATAACCAATGTGCAAACTATTGGAGGAGAAAAACCCATCAAGCAGGAGATAAAAGCTCAAAAGTATGAAGGTTTTAGGGTGATGACATGAACAAGGAGGGAAAATATGTACACAGGTAATAAATGATTAACACTACATTAGATATAATGACAAAAGCAATGTTATTTAATTGAATATTGGTCTCATTCAGTAATTGATTTTTTGTTGATTCCATCGTGACTTGTGAGGGAAATAAGGGGGCAAGGGCAGGTCACTAAAGAATCTGAAAACAACAGATAATTAATCCTGGATGGAAATACATGTGCCAGTAGAGTTCAGTATCACACAACATCACAGAAGAGTATATACAATGTACATTATTGTGATTTCAGAATTTCATAAATAGAGTCCCAAGTTTACAGTCCAAGTAAACCATTCCTAAAACCCAGCAAGCACAATGGTATAATAATGGTTTGGTAGAAAAAACACTGTTGTGTTAATGTCATTTGATTCTGATGATCACTTTTGATTTGCCCTAAAATAATACATCAGTCCTGCAGGAAAGAAGAAAAAGTCCCAAAGGACCTATTGAACTGTGCCTGTTTTCTCTCCTAAGCTGTTATGTTTGATTGCCACACGACTCTGGTATAATCAAACACACATATTGTCAGAGATTCTAGTGTTCCCCTGACAACCGTGAGGGTCCCGCCTTCCCATCAATCCTCATTTTTATGTATCTAATCTGTGAGCACAATAGTCTGAAAAAGATGCCAACAGACACACCTAAAACACAAATGAGGTCTTACAACAGCCCTAAGGAGCCCCCATTTTGTCTGTGTGATCAATACTTAATTGGGACCAGCTAAGGTTCTATTCGGACAAGTGTGACATAAAATCGACTGGAACCAACTTCCTAGGACAAATTGGCACTGATAAAGTAGTGTTAACTTCAGGCCCGTCATCAATTAACAAACTTACCATCCCCACTAGTCCAAGCTAGTCTCTAACATGACCCAATTACCTCATCAATTAAATTGGCTAAAGCCAAACAGCCTTTTCCTTGTCTTTATTTGACAAGGATAGTCTTGGTCTCACGAGTGTTTTTATATATATATATACACCTACATAAAGACAAGAGTGGAATTTAAGGTCCCTTGCACTTCATGACCAGCATTTAGATGAAAATGTGATAACAAGACAAGACAAAGTTGAGATGGTATCAAATCTGGAGCTATTCTTATCATGCATTTATATCTGCAATGATTTGTTTTCTGATTTACACAAACACATCAGGAGCATGAAAATGGTAAATAACATTTTCTTGTGTACAATATTAATTATATTTACCAATATATTTCATCACTCCCTTTTGTATAACAACTTTCTGCATTAATATTAACTTATAGCCTTTACAGTAAACCCAAATATAGGCGAAACCTGTCTTACATGACATTTAAAATTTTTAAATTGTATAATGAGTTGCTGTATAATTGTATATTGGTTTCCATATTAGTTGATAAACCCAAAATTTACGTCTCCTGAAATTGAAGATCATAATATTTCAAAATTTCAAATCTTGCAAGAATATGATACATACAAAATATCATCTATCCAAAGTGCTTTTCTAAATTTTATTTTTTTTTTAAATTTCTGCGGTACAAACACCCACACAGTACTTCTAATACTTCAATGTTAAACCTGAGGCAATAAATAAAAAAAAATTGTGCACTTTAGTTTACAGTGACAGAGACTCGTAAACTCTGAAGTCTTGGAAAATTATGGATATAATTTTCTTTGGAATTAAGGAAAAGCACATTTAAAGAAAAATGAATTATTTTCTCCCTGATTACAAGGAGTTGTTTACATATGCAACACTGCATATTTGAGGCCTAATTACCCTGTAAAACTAAAACTCTGATATTTACTGCCAAACTAGGAAATGTTTCACTTGATGTGGGTCATACCACTGCAAAAATAGTAAAGGAATGAATTTGAAAAGAGATGTTGACAATGACTGTATTCACACATTAGATATAGTGCAGGCATAGACCTAAGCATCTATTTTATGAAAACTTTCCATCTCCATACTTCTCATTCACCTGATAGCTATTTCAAAAACAGGAAGTGACATTTAAAAATGAGATAAACTTATAGTGTATATCGTAAAATTACTGAAATGTCATTTGATAATATTTTACTAACGGCAATTATCTGAATATTTGATCTTCATCAGAACTTTGGTGATAATGAGAAAATTTCTGATATATGACAAATCTGTGATACTTAAGTGACACATCTTAAATAATTCATTGGTTATTTCATAATTTGCTGTAAGTTTACTCAAGCAATAATAGAACTATTTCATTACAGGTTTGATAATTAAACACAAAGGTAATTAATTGAATACGGTCACAAATATTTGAATCACATCCTTGAATAGTTAACTCAGATTTGAAGGTTTCCAACCTGATATATTTTTATCGATCATACCATATTGTACTCATCCCAAGATGTTGATGGGCTCATATGCTTTGATAGTTTACACCTTGAGTTTAGCATAAAAACAGTATTTTTTAACTAAGGTGTTTTGTATGATATAGTCTATGTGAGGAATATATATTCCAATCAGAAAGCAAATGTCACTAAAGTTCATACCTGTTTGGAAAATAAACGTCTGGATGTTAATGATATCAGGTTATGATGTTCGTACTCTTTTTATCTAGCAAAAATTAAACACTGCTTCTGACATTAATTCAAAGGGTGGGCTGATCAAATAGCATTATTTCACTGAACAATAATATATGGGTGGGCTTATTACCAAGCATGATCTTTAATAAACGATGTACTTTTAATGTATTTATATTATTGTTATTTTTAAGATCAAAGTATGGTCAAGGTAATGAAAACCATTCCCTATGATAAAAGTACACTGGCAATTTTGTTTACAAAAAGATATCGTGAAACTGGATATTTATGTTAGAAGCTGGTTTTATAGACGTATAGACGTAAGGGAAGTTGTTCTCCTTAAGCCATAGGGACCATCTCTCTTGCTTGATGGTGTGATCTCTGATGAACAAAGTAGTTGTGACCTTTGATCTTTAGTACTTTTTAGATCATCACCAGTGTGTCACACCTAATAGCACTCCCCACCACTACCGTCAGTAGTACGCCTGCAAGTACCACCAGCAAAAAGATTGAATCAAACACTACAGCCCACAAATTTACCTCAAAGAAACCCCTCTATACTCTAATTTAAAATTCCCATTAACCGAGTTTTAGACAACAGGAAGGGAACCCACCCAGCCCTGTCCTATGTAAAAGTATTAAGATTACAACTCCCCGTCGTTGAGTCAGTTGTAATCACATCAACACAAAGAGAATGATTTCAATAAAGAGGAGAGGGGAAACATTACAATGAAAACTGGGACATGGGACATCGAAATGTCAACATGTGGTAAACTCATGTGTGAAGCTCATGATCGGAGATTGACTTTCCCATACAATTAAATACAAATATTGTTAAGTTTAAGTATTCCGTTTGTTTTTCTTCTTCAGCAATAACAATTTTCTGAAATTCAAATCCTAAGGAATTGTTCTAAAAGATGGGCCAACAAATATATCCATCGTATAACCAGCCTCAAAACTATTCTATAACAATTTCCAACCATTCTTAAAGACATTTAATTTGCAAACTTGTTTCAATTTAATTCAACAAATAATACTAGTATAATATCCTCAATATAACCAGCTTCAAAACTATTCTATACAATCTTCAACTATTCTTTAAGACATTTAATCAGCAAACTTGTTTCAATTTTATACAACAAATAAAACCTGTCCAATTTTCCACTCTCTGATTGGTGTCATGTTTTTAATTAGAGGATCTGATGAAAACATGACTGAAGGCAGGAAAGGACATAATTTGATTAAGAACACATCTCCTGCGGAAACAAATTACAGTATAGACATGGTCATGTTCTATACATGAGGAACATGCAGCCTGTTGCCATTGGAAGCCAGATTTTGCCTCCAAGTCTAAACATATACACTGTTCGACAAAACAATTATGTGTATAGATTTTTTTCCCTCTGGTTTTGACAGTATTGTGTTTGTATAATTCCTCCTTCTGGTTTGGATGGCTGCATTCTGACCTACAAGTACCAGTCAATACACCACCAAATTAACCAAGCAGAACTTGGTTTTAGCTTGAGCAGGTTACACCATAATAACGGTCCCCATCATTTCCCAGACAACCAAATGCTAAAGTACATGACAACAAAGTCTACCAGAATTTTGACAGCTGTATAAAGTCAACTTAACCTGTCTATCATTTGCATTGTATCAATATCAAAAACTCTAATACTTCCCCTGGTAAAAAAAATGAATTTCATGAAAATAACATAATGGATCTTGTAGAGATAACTAGCTTGACCAATGAACATGGTCAAGATATTACATACAATTATACTTTATCAAATGGACTTTTTTCTGATGTTACTGGTTGAGTTTACAATGCTGAGAAACTAGATCTATCTTTGGAGCCAG